GAGTTATCCGACCTGCGGTACTGAGGATGTAAAACACTCCTTTTTTGGGGGGTGGGGGTGGGGGGTAGCTGTTTTAAATATGGGGGGTCCTAAGGGTGGTGTGGTGATGGGGATTAGGGCCGACCAGTCTCTTCCATGGCCACCTCGGCTCACCGTTCAGGTCGGAGGAAGAGTGATAGCGTCTTCGGGCTCGCGCTTTTCTGTCACCCCGCGCGCCTCCCTCTCCCCCTTGTCCTCAGCGACAGACTCCCTCGCGGTGCTCGACGGGATGTAGTGGCTCACGCGGGGTTGAGAAGACCCTTGCGTCTCTGTACCCAAAGCTCCCGACCTCTCCGCGCTCGTGTGACCGTGGGAAGACGCGTAGAGTCCTTCCTCCTGTTGCGAGTGCGCAATTTCTGCTCCCGCACCCCGCGGGGAAACCGCCACTCTCTCCGCTCTGTCACCCCACTGAATCGCCGGACCGTGCGGGGTTGTGCCCTGCCTGGTCTGGTTGAGAGATAACAGCCGTGTTTGCGTAGAGTTCCACTCTGTCATGTTGTCGTTTGTGGAGATGTTAGTTGAGATATTTGCAGTCGGAGTGGGCACCACCAGTTTCCCACCAGAAGAGGATGCGCTGGTTGGCTTCCAGATCAGGCTATAGTAAATTGCCAGGATAATGGCTGCTAAGGACACAGACAACACATATGCAAAAACAGTGGCTAGTCTCACCCACTTCTTGTTAGTCTTAGCAGCCATCTTAGCCTTTTTGTCCCCCGTATAAGTAGCAGGTTTGCCCCTCTCCATATTGGGCATGAAGTCCCGCTCTCTCATATTGCCCCTGTTTTTTCCTCGATGCTCCACCACCCCCTCCGTCTTGAAGGCTTTATGTTATCCACAGTCCAAGAGAAGAGGAAGCAGGAGGCTCAGAGGGAAGATGCTGGACCACCTTGAACCGTCCGCGCCGCAGGAAGATGTTGCACCTAAACAGATTTCCCGTAATTCATTTGATCTCAGAGAAACTGCGCCTCACATTGTGCAGCCAGCGCAGCACTGCGTTTCATAATGGACATCAAGCATCCACAGGCTGACTGACTGCGCGTTTCAGCATCCGACAGCGGCGGGACAAATGTCCCCCCTCCTCCTCCTCCTGTGCGAGGTTTCCAAGGAACAGCTAGCCGCAGGCACACGGCGAATCCGCAGTATACTATTTGATGTCATTTATTAAAACGATTAAGTGAGATCATACGGTACACAACTGTCTGTCTTATCCAGCAAATGAAGTGGCTGGCTCAGCTAAAAATACAGGAGAGGGGGCGGGTGGTGCTTCTTAAAGAAGCAGCAGCTGTGCAGCAACCCGAGAAGAAACCCAAAAAAAAACCAAAAAGAAAAACGACATCTCCTTCACATCAGCACGCGAGAAGTGCACACGGAGAACAGGATGTCGCGGAGGGGACAAACACAGTCAACCGTGTGTTTTAGCTTCACTGTGTTCACCCGAGTGGAAAGGATGGTAGTCCATGTGCTCCGAGCAATCAGAGAGGGGGGGGGGCTTCATTTATGTTGATGTCTTACGTAATCACGTGTTAAACTCGTAGCCAGACCCATACACAACGAGTGGCTTTCATGCCGCTTATGAGGTTTCCTACCTGTTGGCTGCTCCACAACGCGCCTTTTCAGCACAATGGACAGCGACCCGAATTTGTCATCGCTCGTGTCCTCCGGGAAGGTGAAAAAGGTGAAGCGACACATTTAACAAGCGTAAAATCCAGTTTTCAGCATAAATCGCACAGCAGTTAAAAACAAATAAATGAACACATTATATAACAAGTACCTTCTGTTTATTATACACTCACTGGACACCTTGTTAAGTACATCCGGCCAACTGCTAATTAGCACAAATATCTAATCAATCACTCGGTGTATTTGGGCATGTGGAGGTGGTCCACATGCTGAACGAGCCTCAGGATGGCATAGCTTCAACTGGCGTGGTTGTTTGTGCCACACAGGCTGCTGTGAGTGTTTGAGGAGCTGCTGATCTACTGGGATTTCCCCAAAAGGCCATCTTTCGCGGTGGAAATGCCTCGTTGATGCCAGAGATCAGAGGAAAGTGGTTTGAGCTGATAGGAAAGCAGTGACAATTCAAGTAACCACTTCGTCATACATTGGACCTTGAAGCAGATGGTCTACAGGAGCACGCTCAGTAACAGGAAATTGTTTGCATGGACTCATCACAATTGGACAATAGAATATTTTTTTAAAGTCTTTATTTGCTGCAAAATTGATGGTAGGATCAGAATTTGGACTAAACAGCAGGAACATGAAACATGAAAGCATGACTCCACCTTGCCTTTTATTAATAGTTCAGGTTGTTGGTGGTGAAAATGTGTGGGGCAATCTGGGAAATATTTTCTTGGCACACTTTGGGCCTCTTAGGACCAAATGTTGTTTAAATGTCACAGCCTACCTGAGTACCATCATCCATCTCTTTATGACCACAGTGTTCCCATCTTTTAATGGCTGCTTTCTAGCAGGATAAAGCGCCATGTCACAAAGCTCAGGTCATCTCAAACTGGTTTCCTAAACATGACAATGAGGTCATTCAAATGGCCTCCACATTCAGTCCAAAGCTAATAGAGTATCTTTGGGATGTTGTGGAGGAAGATTTGCATCATGGATGTGCAGCCAGTAAATCTGCAGCACCCGTGTGATGCTGCTACGTCAACATGGACTAAAATCTCTGAGAAATGTTTCATCTCTGGGGCACCGTGTTAAATATATGCCACAAACAATTTAAGACACTTAAAAAACAAAATGAAGTCCAACGTGGTGCTAGCCATCGGCTCCAATTGGTCACAGCAAATAGGTGCCCCTCCCTGAGCCTGGTTCTGCTAGAGGTTTCTTCCTGTTAAAAGGGAGTCACCAAGTGCTTGCTTAAAGGGG